GTGTGTGTGTGTGTGTGTGTGTGTGTGTGTGTGTGTGTGTGTGTGTGTGTGTGTTTATATTTGAGTTTCTATAGATATGTGGATTAATATTTCTGTTTATTTTTCTCCCAAAGGTGATGCTGGTGTCTCTTTGTGCTGGAGGGGTTGGACTCAACCTCATCGGAGGGAATCACCTGTTTCTCATCGACATGCACTGGTGAGACTCTGTTAGATGTAGTCGGCTGTAAATACAGTCGGCCTTCTGTCTGAATTACTTTCTTTATTACGTTTCTCCTGTTGTTCTTAAAGTACTTTCACCTTCAACTGAACTTCACTTGAGTCAGTTAAACTGAAACTTGAGCTGCTCCCAGCCTCTTTGTTCTCACAGAACCATTTACGAGACAATGATTGACATTTTAAAGACATGATAACCTTTTTACAGTTTTGACAATTCTAATTTTCAAGACAAGTGAGCTCACAAACTTTATCTCTTGTGCCTCACTTTAAAAAACAAGTTCCAAAAGTGCCAATCTTTGTCCTTGTCAAAAACCGACATAAAATTATATATTGTTAGTTGTATAATAATTAACATTGTTGTTTATATTTGACAAAAACACAACACAACAATTCTATTATTTTCTGTTCTAAATGCTTGAGAGGATTTTTTTATTTTATTTTTTTTTAAAAATTGCAAGAAAACAGGAAAATATAATGTATTTGTAAAAATGTCTCAATCTGTTGGAAAAATAGTAAAACTATAATTTAGAATCCAACCTCCAGATTAAAAGGCTGATATAATAGAATGCATGATTTTGTGCTGTAAAGTGTATTATAGTATGCAATAACACAGCCAAAATGATATTAAATAAATAAATGAATGATCCTTAAATGAGGCATAAAGGTTACATTTTGCATTATTAAATATGATAAAATACACTTCTTTAAGATGTTTTAATAGTGCTCACTCTCTCAAACAAACACAGGAGATAAAAATCAACATGAATACCATTTTGAGCCATTTTGCACTGACTTGGTTGTCTAATGCTACTCATGAAGTGATGAAATCTTTTGACCTGCTCAGCACCTCTGACCTCTGACCCCTCTCACAGGAACCCAGCCCTGGAGGATCAGGCCTGTGACCGGATCTACAGAGTGGGACAGAGTAAAGATGTCACCATCCACAGGTAACGCGTCAGCGGGACGGCTCATCCAAACCAAGTTTATTTATGTATAAATACTGAAATGATAGCATGAAAACGCAAAAGATATTGTATCAAATCAGACTGAACAATAAGCAATAATAATAAAAGATGAGAAAGAGAAGAAAGCTGAATAGATGGGTTTTTAGTTTCTGTTTAAAAATATGAATATCTTTAGCTACTCTCAGAGCGTCTTGAAGGCTCTTCTAACAACTTGGATTATAAATCCTAAAATGTTTTAGTTCTGCTTTGTGGAGCAGCTAAAAGAGAAGAACCAGAGGATCTGAGGTTCCTCACTGGTTCATAAACTAAAAGCATTTCTGAGAGGAAGTCTGGTAAAAATACACTGATAAAAGAACTTAAAAATCAATACTAAAAACTAACACGTAAAGATTTAAAAATAGGTGTAATATGTGCTTCTGCTGTCCTGCAGCCTCAGTGTGTTTATAATTTGGTGTGTGCGTGTTAATGAATGTGTGTGTGTGTGTGTGTGTGTGTGTGTGTGTGTGTGTGTGTTTTCTCCAGGTTTGTGTGTGACGGCACGGTGGAGGAGAAGATCTCCTCGCTGCAGGTGAAGAAGAAGGAGCTGGCCCACAATGTGCTGACGGGAACGGGGAGCACAGCCTCCAAACTCTCCCTGGCCGACCTCCGGATCATTTTTGGCGTCTGAGACGAGAGCGCCGCCGCCGTCAATATGTTTAAAGTTCAGGGTAGAAGATTGAAAAATAGTCTCATGAATCTGAGATGCTAGAGGGCTTATTTTACACACGTGTAGTGACGGGTTTCTTCTTTTATCTTAATCCAGAACAGTAATTTTACCGTCATCCTGACTGCTTTTCAACCTGTTATTGGACTTCATGTGCCTTTTTTATTTCAGTTCTTTACTTAAACTCCTTTAAGTCCCTTATTTCAGTACAGCTGTTAGCATCTGTTCACTCTGATGCATGTTGCTTTAGTGGATCTATTTTAACACTATGTCAGTTGTTCCTGAAACTCTTCTTCCTACATGATGCTTTTCAATGACCTGCGGTTTCTCTTATTTATTATTGTCGACGTGGTCTGAAGGAAACTTTAATTAATCTTTAAATGTTAACCTGCAGACACACAGGTGATTTACGCTGGCTCATTATTGGAGTGAAGCAAATACTTCCTCCTTGTTGTATATTTTTGTCACCTGATGGAGTTTATTTCTTTTAAAGCTGTTTTCAAATATCTTTGTTTAAGTATTGTTTGTTGATTTTAAATAAATTCAGTTGCTCATGTGACGGCTCCCTGTATCAAGTCACAGTGCTCCTCCAAGGGTACTTCTCAAGTCTTAGTCCCTCCCACCAGGGATGCATGGAGGAAACCATGCGAGGAGTATAAAGAATAAAACTAATGTGGCTGAGGTGGATTTTTTTATTATTTTGCTGCGGAAATGGGCTTCCATAGTCCTCCATGTTTTTAATGCTTCAAATCCAGAGGGGAGCTTCATCTCCATGTTGCGTTGATAAACATCGGACATTTGGGTCTCCAACGTCTGAAAATAACATTACACGACTGTAATATGAAATCGTTATTTAAAAAAAAATAATGAATACACTAATGATCCTATAGTCCAAGTGGTTTAAGATAAGTCTTAAAGCGAAACTTTAAAAACGTATAAAACACGTGGTTAACAAAAATCTACAATTGTTTTTTGCAAAAGTGAATTGTGATTTAGAAATGAAAGATTTTGCGAGTGGGCACATGAACGCAACACGCGGTAAGAGCGCGCGGTAAACTGGTTCCTGTGTGCTCGTGCTCGAGAACCCTCTGAGCACCGCAGAGCTAACGGTTACCGCCAGGTACGCAAAACTGCGGCCCTCACGAGTACTGGATCCAAAACACAAATAATAGCTGCTTGTTTTTTTTTTTTTAAAGCCATGGCGGCTGAGGCTGACAAAGTAGAGCCGGTGGATAGCGAGCAAGACGAGGAGGAAGATGTGTACGAAGTGGAGAGGATCATCGACATGCGAGTGGAAGAGGTAAAAACTAAGCTAAGCTAGCTACCGTAGCTAGTTAGCTACCGTTAGCCGCCTTGGCTAGCTTTGCAAAACATGGCTGTCTTTGGATTGCTTTCACTCCACTCTCACGACGTGTAGCTCACACACACCCTCCGTTACATTAACTCACATGTCTACAGTGTATTTATATATGTATATAAGGTGCATTAAATTGCTATTGTCCATATTTTAGCATCGTTTCTCCCATGATGTCCGTTCGCCTTTCCCCCTGCTGGGGCCAAAGGACGGACGTCTTGTAAAAGCTTAACACCCCCATTGTCCTCTTTGGTGCATTTGCTCCAGCAAAGCGAAACTAATCCAGAGAATATAGTGCTAGCTGTTAGTGTCGTTGTGCATAACACATATTGCATGGTGGTGTTTTTGTTTTTAGAGGTTTAGGGTTAGTGTGTGTTTATGAAAAGACATCAACAGACTGACTCACCTGTGTGTATTTACAGATAAACGTCTCACTGATAATATGTATCTGTTGGATCTCACTTATACTATTTTAAGTTACGTTGTGTCTTTGTAAGAACATAGTAACGTGATTATTTTGGGGGCATCTGCTGCGTTAATTATAATATTTCAGCTGTGTGACATTAAATCTTTACACAAGTCAAAGTTATCTAGTAACCTATTAGTATTTTACAAGATGCTTTTAAATAATATTCTATAGCTGTAGTTGTCCCACTTAGTAAGTAAAAAACAAAAACTATTTAAGTAATTAACTCACTAATAATGAACTGAAACTGTTAAATTTCATCACAAATGATGTACATCAGTGTGTGTCGCATTGATTATATTATATTATGTATTTGTTGAAGTTTACAGTAATCCTACTCTATTTAGTCTTTCAATACAATATCTGCCGTTTCTTATTGAATACCTCCAGATTTCTGTATAAATACTATGTCAATATATTATTAACAATCGTAGGTTATAGATGTTATAACTCGGTTATTTACCTCTTTTGTACAGTTTGTTTACGTTTTGCAGCAGTGATGCTTCCTATTATTATTGTTATTATTATTTCTCGTGTTGTGTTTACAAAGTCACAAGACAGCGGCACATTTAAACGTTAACTCCTCTTGGTGTGTAATTCTGAAGGCAGTGCCGTTGTGTTGGTCGTGTTTGTGCCAGGGCTTTTAAAAAGCATTTACTCTGTTCCTTAATGTCAATTTAAGTAATCCGATTATTTCCCAGCTTTGGACACTTTCAGGATAATTTGCGAGATGAAAAAAGATTTTGGAGATAACGTAGGTGAATTTATGCTGGAGAAACATTGTTGTGTAAGTATGTGCATTTGCAGTGATGAAGAGACGAGGAGAGAGGAAATGTGATCTCCAGCTGAACCAAACTGTACTGATCTTCCTTTCAAAAGTAAAACTGTTTCCAGCTTCCACAGCTGAACAGGAAGCTAAACTTCCCCCGGTTGGGCTAGTAGGTCAGAAATCTACTTGCCCGGGACGATGTTTACTTCTCCCTATGAAATAGTTTATCTTAGATGTCTAAGATAGATGTCTTAATAGTGTCACTTTTAACATGCAACACATCTTTAGACCCATGAAAAGAAAAAAGTGTTTAACTTAATCACTCTGAGTCATTTGTTTGCAGCTCTTCAACTAAATGTTTCACTGCGAAAATAACAACAAAAAACATTAAGAAATCTAAAATATGGATTTAGTCCAACTGTTTGGGCCTCTGGTCCCTTCACAATAAAAGCCTTGTTGTTTCAGCATTGCTTTGCTGCTCTTAATCTTGTAAACTTTCCTTTTTTAGGCTTTAAAAACCTTTTCAAGTGTTTTGCTTTTTCTGCCCAAATGAACTCTCAACACTGTCTTGTACAATATAGCATCTACTATGAAAACAACCAATGCATGAAGATTCATTTAATCTAGTCTGTCGGCCATGTTTGCGTGCAGGCAGCCGTCATCTGAGTCTGTCGGTGGGTGAAACAGTCGCCAGATAAACTGTGACAGCTTCGAGCCTCCGTGTCGGTTTAGTGGTGGAGGAAACGCTCACTTCTCTCTCTGTGTGTTTCCAGGGCGAAGTGCTCTACAGAGTCCGATGGAAGAACTACTGCTCGGATGATGACACGTGGGAGCCAGAGGCCCATCTGGAGGACTGTTGCGAGGTCCTCTTGGCTTTTAAGAAGTCCATGGCGGAGCTCAAGGCCAAGAAAGAGGCCGAGGCCAAGAAGAGCGTGGTAAGTCTTAGTGACAGTCAGGTAGTCTTAGTACTACTGGTACTGTACTCACCGAAACAATAGTACTGGTGTAGGTACAGCATTTAAGGAGTAAAGTAGGGGCTCTTACTCATGCACAGTTTTTGTTTAGTATCTCTTTTCATTCTATTTAAACCGAGGGGCAACCTCAGAGTCTGAAACATGAAGCCAAAGCTTCATGTGTTAAAGCTGCATTCTCTCTAGTTTCCACCAGGTGGCGACTCCTCTGGTTGTATAGAAATCTATGAGAAAATGACTCTACTTCTCTCTTGATTTATTACCATGGTCATATATACTGTACATAAGAAGAGGAAGTAGTCATCGTGATTCATCCATTGGTTTTTGGACTGCCGTCGCCATCTTGGCTTTTTGCAGCCAGTGAACAGGAAGTGACCATATTTGGGCTGAGGAGGAGCGATGTAGAGACGACGTATACGTCTCTGGTAGAGACCTGTCAATCACTGTGTAGCCCCGCCCTAAAGCATCCCCTGCTTTATGGTCTGTTTGACTCTAAATGGACCATAATGTACTAAATGAACATCATGCTGTATTGAAGAAGACTTGAAACTAGAGATTGAGAACATAAACTCATGTCACCGTGACTACGTCTGCTTCTTATTTACAGTCTATGCTTTAAACCAGACACCTGTAGATGAATGGAATACTGTGCAAGAGCTAAACGAGGACCCGCTCATAGAAAAGAGCTTCGTAGTGCTACTGTAGGTCTAAAACCAGGGAAGCTAAAAATAAAAAACAATGTATGATTTTAAAATGTGATGTTGCTACTCCTGTTCTGTTAGAAACCGCCGCCTACAAAGAGCGACACGGTCGATGCCGACTCAGAGAGTGAAGGTGACAAAGACCGTCCAACCGAGTCGCCCGTCAAGAAGAAGAAGAAGAAAAAGAGCCGGGAAGGAGAAGAGGAGCCTCCTCCAAAGGAGAAGAAGAAGAAGAAGAAAGACAAACGGAAGGAGGAGTTCAGGCCTCTACCGGCACCAGAGACAGACGAGGAAGAGGAAGAGGAAGAGGAGAGAGCTCCAACTCCAACCTCTCCTCCCAAGGAGAAAAAGAGCGACTCTAAAAAGAGGCAGATAGACTCTGAAGAGGAGGACGAAGAGCCTGTTCCCTCCAAAAAACACAAGAAGGAAAAGGGGAAAGAGGGAGGAAAGTATAAGAAAGACAAGGCAGAGGAGGGTAGGAAAAGGAAAGGGAAGAAGGAAAGGAAGATTGAAAGCTCTGAGGATGAGGCCGCTCCTCCTCTGGACGACACCCTGAGCGACGTCCCGTCTGAGTCCCAAATGGACGATTCGGCGTCGACCGAAACTGCGGCGAAGTCGGGCGAAAAATCCCGTTTGGAGGACAAGTCGAAACAAAAGAAAGGGAAGTGGGAGGTGAAGCTGCAGGGCATTAAGGACCTCATCCAAGACAAAAAGAGCAAAAAGCCCGACGCCACTCAGAAAGAAAGCAACCTCCAAAAACTGAAGAGCCTCACTTCTAAAGTCAAGGAGGACGCCGCGCCGCACTCTGACTCCAGCGATAGCTCCACGCTGCATAAGAAAGCCAAGAGCAAAGGACCGGAGAGCGCCGCCACGTCTGCAGCACCGCCGCCCAAAGTCCCGTCTTCCTCCACGTCCTCGACGTCCTCCACCTCCTCCGTCACAGCGACTGGCAGCACCACCAAGCCAAAGGAGGAGGAGGTGGTGGCGGCGGCGGCTAAAGAGGAGGCGCTGGGACCGAGGGAAGCGTCGGGCTCCACCAACCTGTTCGAGAAGTTCCTGTTGAACTGCGAAGCAAAAGACCGAGCGCCCCGACGGCAGCCGGCGCACCAGGCTGTCCCGGAGAAGATCAGCAGCAAACCCACAAAGGTACATCACCGTGTGATGCTGGTTACTTTTACCTCGTCAAAAAATGGCAAACGCATTTGTTCAAACTCAAAGTGGAGACAAACATGCATTTCGTGTAATTTATACAGTTTAGAAAATGTATAAAACATAATCATTTGTTGTTAATGAGATATAACATCAGTCCTCACTTCCTGAGCCTTTATCCCTTTTATTAAGCTTTGTTTAACTTGTTATAATACATATTCTATCTGTGCAAAGTTTCAGAGAACGTATAAAAAATGCCTAAAATCTATCTACTGTTAAGAAAGATGTAAGGAGTAAGTTATTGAGTAAGTTATCCCATTTCAACATATTTAATGTATATATTTAAAGACTTTTTGTCAAATGGTGAACATTAGTCAACATTAATGTTTGCCCTGTTTGATGGATTCTGCTGCTCACTGGTTTATCTGGAGGTTTGAACATTGTGTTTTATCAACATTAGCTAACAGGAAAGATTGAGAAGTTCTCCAAGACAACCAAAGAGTCTCCAGCTCAGAAACCAGAGCCGGAGAAGACGGAGAAGAACAAGCAATCAGATGGTATGCTCGACACACACAAATCATTATTATATATATGTACTATATACTGTATATAAATATAAATATGCCGACTTGTCTGCTCCGTCTTTTCAGCCTCCAGACCCGGCCAGAGTTACGGCTTCAGTCTGGACAGTGAGGAGAGGGAGGCGGAGCCGAAGCCCGGGGAGGATTCCCGGGAGCGGAAGGAGAGACCGGAGGAGACGCAGCGGACCGGCTGGGAGAGGAAGAGCTCGACGGAGGAGAGGAGGAAGAGGAGAGAGGACAGTGAGCCCAGACTCTTCATGGCGTGTGACGACAATCAGGACACCCAGGATCCACCAGGGGGCGCTGACAAGTGTGGTACGGTTCACATTTACCTCTCTGCACAGTTGAGATGTCCGTTTGTTGATTTTTAATGCAAACACTTACTGAGGTTTAAAACATAATGTGAGTAAGATTTTCAAGGTTTCAGCCTGTTAACTAATGAATAGTGGAGCAACAGATCCTAGAACTAGAAACACATGTTTTAGTGAATATTGCAGGAGAACCATCGTCAGTAAAACTGTATTTACACTGTGCTGGTTAATGTTAAAACTGTATTTACACTGTGCTGGTTGATGTTAAAGTGTGGAGTTAATCTGAGGTTCACATTTACACCTTTACTAACGAAGCGTCTCTCTCTGCTCCGTGTGCTGTCCAGACAAGGGCCAGGCCACCTTGAGTCTGGGAATGGACCTCAACCTGGACTGGATGACTCTGGACGACTTCCAGAAACACCTGAACGGGGAGGATGAGATCCTGTCGGGTCCGCCGCTGTCGCCCAGTGAGTACTTTTACATTCACAGCTCAGACTGTCTAGAAGCTTTCAAACTGTTGATGGATGATCTTCTGCTTAAAACGCCTCGTGGTTGTTAATCAACCCATTGTTTTTATGTTCCTTATTATTGAATGCACAACAACTTCAGAGAAGCGGTCGTTGCAAATGAAAATCTTGGATCTCAAGTTCCCTCAAACGATGCTCATTATAAGTATTTTTAAAAATAATAAGGAGAAGTTATGTACGGTAATAATATCGTATTGTGGGGCCTCTGGTGATCACCCTTACCTCACTTTGTTCATGTTAAAGCTTCAACTATTAGTCGGCTCAAAATCATCATTCTTTACAGGATTTGGTTACTTCAAACGGTTTATTTGGGATTTTAAATGACACATTTAGAATAAAATGTTGATGAAATCTGACGATACTGACGTTTTTTCACAGCTTCTAGCTGCGATAAACTGTAGTTTTGTCGATTGTTTAAAGAAAACATGATCTCATTTTTTCCAATGTCTTATAAATAGGTTTGATTGTGAGATCTACAATGCAAACTTTCTTTCACCTTTCAAGCCCGAGAAGCCCCCGATTGGGGGCCAGTGAGAAGACTTGGCTAAACACAGTGTGAAACAATGCACTAATCACAAAATCAAATTAAACAGCAGAACCTGGGCTACAAAAATGTATAAGCCATTTTTACATGCTCCAAACACAACGCGAACACCAACTAAATGAATTACCAAATATCAAAATCCATATAACGTCACCTAGTCAACCCACTCGCAATATCAAATCCCTCTACATCAAAGCATCAGCGAGATATGAGCCAAAGAACACCAACAACAGAAATCGCTTCATCAAACGATAGTTGTAACATTTCTCTTAGCTTTGCTGTTTTATTTTACCGGTAAATCCACACTGAAATATGTGAGACCTATTTCCTGTGTTACACTCCAATCATTCCGGGCGTTTCTAGGGGCCGTTAGGCATTCGAATTGCCGTGTGTAGCAGCCTGCACTTCCCACAGGACGGCACTTTGCTGATTCTGATTGGCTAACAGTGCTGTCAATCTCATTTTGGTGGTTATAGCTAAATTCTATTGGCTCTAACATTCAAATGAGGTGTCATTCACTCTCAAATCTTCCAATCCGATGCGGAGATGTAGCCTGGCGTACTCGCAGGCAGCTGACGCAGAGAGCATAGCATTAGCTTGATTTGGCGTCGCGTGTGTTACTTTTGCGGTTGTTTTGTCATCACTTTGTTGGAATTTTTGAGAGAAAGATGTCAAAACAACGAACAAAGAAATATTTCACTCCAGACGAAGTACTGAAACTGCTGGAGGAGGACCCCGGGAGCCTCGTTCGTCCTCGTGATTCATCGTCGGATGACGAGGATATCGTGCATCCCGACAACACACAAGACAGCAGTGACTCGGATTACTGTCTTCCATCATCGGAAAGGTATGATCGTCTTATAAATGTTATATTCATCGATGTATTGGTGTTTTCAATCTATCTAGAGCTAGCAGCTTTCTCAGGGCAACACTCTGGCTTAGTTATATGGTCTGATTGCATACTAAACAGGGGTGTGTGTGTGTGTGTGTGTGTGTGTGTGTGTGTGTGTGTGTGTGTGTG